GAGACCATTTGAAATTACAATGGATCTTTTGTGGGGGGGGGGTACTTACGACCAGGATTCAAAGTCCTGATGGTCGTTCTCCCACAATCACATGAGCAAACTTCAGGTGGTCAGCAGTTGGCTGTATTTATGGCTATTTGTGGCACCCCATAATCACGTAATTGCAGTTTATGACAGACTGCAGAAAATCAGGATTTACTTCCACTTTTGGGGGGGGGGAACTATGCCTAACATTGGCTTGTTTGAAGACCATGTCATTTGCTTAATGACCTGCACAAAAGTTGTAAAATCTGATCAATCATGTGAATAATCAGTTTTACAACTGTCATGACTTACAACCATAATGAGCAGGCTCCACTACTGTCATTGGTTGAGGACTATTTGTTCATAAATATATCGTTACACTTACAAAAAAACCTTTACCCAAACCAGGTCATCATTTTACCCAGTCTACATTTTACCCAGTCTATTTTTATTGAAGTGAAAAGCAATGTAGTAATTAGACATTTTTGCATGTTCATTATCTCCCCAAATATAGCTATACTGTAGAATCAAGCTGGTATTTTTGACATTTCCTGAAAACGCCAGGGAATGACTGATTCACATCACTTACTAATGATCTTGCAGATGTTCTTTATGGTTTGATTTAGAAGTCAATAGGTGAATAATCTTAGAAAAAAGCTGGCCATGTTGACATTGTGCTCTTCTCCCAGGTGCATTAAGTGCATTTCTTCCCGGAAAAATGCCAGCAGGAAGTTCAGCCAGAAAAACCGAGTGACCAAAGAAAAACTGAAGGAAGTCATTTGGGACCTAATCAGTGGTATATCTTTTTCCCAGTTTAAAGAGACTAGCAGGGTTGGTTTGGTTTGCCCTATAGAAATGTCTAGTGGCTTTTTGAAATAGATGCCACAAAGTCCTTTTTCTCTAAGAAATCATGTAATATCTAATCAATCCTTCATTATGTGGACAGACATCTTGAACAAGCAATGGTCGTGAACTCTGCTTGGAAGCCCACATGATCATTACAAGTAAAAATTCTCAAGTTAACAGAAGAAGGTTGACTCATGTTAGCTCCCCTTCCTGTATTCACTCATTTGACTCAGATACAATCTCTGTAGATAAAGGGCTTCATCTCCCCACCCACTGCCCCAGGCCAAGACCATATCCAGGGTAAATCCAAACAGATAAGACATTCCTCTATCTCCTAGAACAGAGGTCTCCAAACTTGGCAACTTTGAGACTTGTGGACTTCAATACCCAGAATTCCTCAGCCTTTACTCTACCGTTCCTCATAGACACCTATGGTTGTGAAAATTGGACCCTTAATACAACAAGACAAGAAAATTGACTTGTATATGAGCTGTAGTTCTAGAGAAGCTCCTGCATATTCCCTGGGAAGCAAACACTAACCAACAAGCAAGTACTGGAGCACATAATAGACATGTCACTAGAAGGCAAGTCCAACCTCTGAAAAACGATGCGATACACAGGCCGAAGCCTTCTTACTGTGAACAGCACTGCATAATATAAGCGGATGTTAACCCGGATGTAAACATCTCAGTATTGGATTGTTTTCTCACCAGCCGGTGCGCAGCTTCACGGAAAATCCCGGATGTGTGACCGAGAGAATACGCCTGTGGTACATGTAAGCTAGCTAAACGCATTCTGCGTGTACTCTGCATGCATGGTAAGGCAGCTATGTGTAATGTGTACGTGCACAGTGCATATATATTACCAAGTGGAAGCCTTACGTTAGCGTTAGCCTAGTCTCTAAACCATATTTTACCCCGAACAAGTGAACAACTCTACATCTACGGAAGATGGCAGCGACGGGAAAATGGAAAGGGAAATATGACAGTGGTAGAAAATATAATAAATCGTGAGAACAAAAGTTCTTGTGGCTCACAAAATCTAGCGATGGAAGTGAACACGGATTGTGCAAGCTTTGTAAGACACAAATCGCACCAAAGCTTTCTCACCTTTTGGACCACCAAAAAATGAAGGGGCATACAGAAAGAGTAAGTGCTAGTTCTCATTGTGTAGCATTACCCTTTTTTCAGAAACCGAAAACAGACAAGGATATTGAGATAATCAAACGCATAGATATTAAGCTCGCTGTGACTATAGCGTGTCACTGCGCAACGTCCACTGTTGATCACCTGGCAGAATTTATGTAGAAGAATGGGAAAGGTAGCAAACTCGCAAACCTTCAAGTTCATCGCACTAAGTGCAGTAAACTTATCTCTAAAGTAATTTCCCCTGCTTTGAAGGAGACTCAACAGCATGATGTCGAGAACAAAAAATTTGCAATCCTCATCGACTAATCAATGGACATCGCTATTGACAAGCATCTGTGTATTGTCATCAGGTATTTCAACCAGTCAAAGTTACATATTGTGACTGAATTTGTTGCTCTAAAGCCCGTTGTTTGGGCTACAGGTAGAGAACTCTTTGAAATACTCAGGAACACACTAGATGAACTCTGTCTGAAGCTGGTTGACTGCATCGGGTTCGGCAGCGATGGTGCATCTGCAATGATTGGGGAGCACAACTCCATGTGGTCTCAAATTTGTGAGCAATCGCCTCATTGTCAGCTGAACCGATTCATATGTCATTCGCTTGCATTTTGTATCGAGAAGGCGTTTGATAAGCTTCCATCAAACTTGGGGTATCTCCTAGCAGAAATTCCCAAGTGGTTCAGCAAGAGTATCCTCCGGAGAGAAGCATTCTCAGATCTGTTCAAAGTGATGGATGCTACAGATGAGTGAAAGGGAACACCTCTTCCTTTCCAGAAGCTGTCTGCAACACGATGGTTGGTGAGGGGCGAAGTCATCTACAACATTCTTATCAACTGAGAAGAGCTGAAGGCTTACTTTTTAGCAGTCGTCCCCACTGCCGATGCCTCCTGCCGGTACAAGGCCAGGGAGATCCTGGGGATGTTGTCAGATCCCCTGAACGCCTTGTACTTTCACTTTGTGTCCCCCATCATCGCCGAATTTGAGCAGGTCAACTCTTTTTTTCAAGCAACTGATGCTGACCCAGAGGAGATGGTGCAAGAATTGCTCGTGCACTATAAAAGTTTGAAAGGTCATAACATCGACAGCGAAGGAAAACCACTTGACCTGGACAGAGTTGATTATGGGGCCAAATTTACGAGTGAGCTTCGTTCCTTCATGAATAGCCAAAATCATTCCCCTGACGCACTCAACAAGGCAACGGAGATGAAGACACGCTGTGCAAGCCTCCCGAGTGAAGCCCTCAGTCAGCTCGAGAAGCGCCTTCTGGTATCGATGGAAGTCTTCAAAGGTCTAAGAAGTTTGTCGCCGAGTAAAGTGTTGAGCCAGACCGCCAGGGTTCCATTTCAAGATCTGCCAATGCCTAATCTCCGAAGTGCAAATGAAGCTGTGACTGAGGAGCAGTATCGGAGAATTCTGCATGTGCATTGGGCAGAGGCGTCAGTGTTTGATGGAAGAATTCCAAGTTACACAGCATCCTTCTGGGCAGGGGTGTTGCAGTACAAGTCCAAAGTGGGTGAGCAGCCATTTGAACAGTTGGCAATGTATGTGCTGTCCTGCCTTGCAACACCAATGAGTAACGCCGTTGTAGAACACATTTTCTCTGCAGTAACACATGTGAAGACGAAGGCTAGAAATCGCTTACAGACGGAAATGTTGGACGCCATCATCAGAATTCGTACACATCTACAATTTCAGGGGAAGTGCTGTACGGATTTCAGCGCAACAGAACGCATGCTTCAGTTGTTCACATCAGAGAACATATACGAAAACCAAGCCAGTCAACCAGATCATCCTGAGGATATTGACGAGGATATCATGAACATTCTATATTAGAGCACTTCATTCATGACTTTGCTCCTATTTCAATCATACTTGACAGACTTGATCTTCTGGCTTGCTTGTTTGTTGTTTTACCTTTTTCTTTCTTCACATTGCTACATTAGAAGTACTCTTTGTTTTCATGTAATTATTGGGATAATTCCTCTCTTTTTGAAAAGATGGTTATTGAGCATTCAGTTTTCATAAGGATTCTATATACAATTGCTATTTTTGTGTCATTTTATTTGTTTAGTGACTATATTTTTTCAATGGGGGGGGGAAATCCTCCTAAAAACCCTCATGCCCTAGCTCCCCCCTCCTCAGGATGGCTGCATTTGGCCCTGAGCTTTTCAAATGGTAGTAGCGGTTATTTGAAGTGAGCTGCCTAGCCTGGATGTGAGTAAAGAAACGCAGGAATTCCCATGACGTCACGTTGTCGAATAAAGACTATTTTTTATGGTTTGATTATTTAAAAACAGTTAAAAAAACAAAAAACAATATATCCTCATGTTATATTGCATAAAAAAATTTGGCCATGAGAGAAAATAATTTGGCCGTATTTTGACTTGAGTTTGGCCGCAGAGCCAAGCTGCGATCTGGCAACCCTGGAAAGGGGTGAGGTCAATAGTCTAAGGTTAAAGTTTTTGGGGTTTGGGGAAGAACCCGATTAAAAGACAAACCGATCAAGCAGGCAATCAGATCAGAGAGAGGCCGTGGGGTCGATTCATGGGAAGGAAAACCGACAGATTGGGGTCCCACGCTTTTATCGTGGCTTGTTTAACCGCGACTGATTGAACGGCTGGCAGACGGCACCAAGCGACCTGTTTTGCTCCCTTCACGCGCTCCTGTAAAATGTAAGCCTTCATTCTCCATAAATCCCGAATAGATAAGGCGAGACGACTCAGAGGAGCTGGGTGGCGTGGGGTGGAGAAGTGGCTGGCAGTTTAAAAAGAAGCGGAGCAACGCCCTACCTCTTTCAGCTGACCCCTACCCCAATAAAAGAAAACCCGCGACAGAGCAGGAAACTCCCGACTCCTACATGAACGCACTACGCCGACCATCCCGGCCGGGAGAGGAAGAGAAGCGGGCGCCGGGGAGGAGCTAGGAGGGAAGGGGCCGCACAATGGGCGGGAAAGCGACCAGGTCTCCGCCTCTCTTCGCGTTTTCCTCCCGTCCAGCTCGACGGCCGGCGCTTCTTTGCGACCGATCCCCTGGCAGGGAGGGCGTGCGCTTGCTTTCTCCTCTTCTCAAGTGGCTACGACTCGGTTTTTCCCTCGTTCCCTCCCAGGGTTTTTTTTCCTGGGCCAGGCTTGGCTTTGTAAGAAGCGCACTCCCGCTCCCCAGCCGCGCTTTTAGGGTAGGTTGCGATCCTGAAGGATCCTGAAGGTGCGCCGAGGGAGCCGATCCCAACGGAACATAGAGGACACTTTGCCCGGGACCAAGTGCAACGAGTGACTTCGAGGAGGAAAAAGAAATCCTGGAGACTTGCGGTGTGTTGTTTTTTTTCCTCCTTCCGATATTGAAAAGTAGCTTGCATGCTTGTTTTCCCTATTTAGGAAAATCCCTTAACTCAGAGGAAATCCCACCCCCACCCCCCAAAAAATTACCTTCTGTTTATGTCTAGGATCTACAATCGGTTTACTTCTAGGGCTGGGGAATACTACGAACCGACGGGAGGTATTAATGTTCGCTTTTGTAAACGTTTTATTAGCAAGAGGAATAAAACTGTATAGCGAGTATGTTTTACGCCTGCTTAATACAAGCCTCCCTCGAAGTCTCTTTTTCTGCCCGAATTTTCCTCGAAAGGAAAAAAAAGAAAAGAAAAATTGGCGGCGCCCAGAACTCCGAAGTGGCTGGGAAGTTGTTTCCATCTCGCTTTCTTTTCCCCACTCCGCCCTTGGGCTGGAGGATGGGCGGGGGGAGGAGGAGCGCTATTTATCACCATTGGGACAGGCGGCTCTTTCGAAAGAGCGGACGAGGCCTTGGCCTGGAAAGTGGTGGTGGCTGGGCGTTTATCCACCTCGCATGTGAAGAAAATACAAGTCGGATGGAAAACCACAGTCTTACTAACCTTCGGCAGAATGGTGCGAAAGGGACGCAGAACGGAGTTTTTACAACTGGGAGGAAGCAAGGTTTCAGCCCACTCGGTTGTAGTGGGTAGCTGCTCTCTTTCCTGTTTAAATAAAAAAGAAGTTCCCCGGCACTCTTTGAGAGGCTGACAAATGCAATCCAGGGACCAAAGTGAACTTTCTCAGATGCACAAAAGGGCGCTTTGCATTATCTAGGGTAATTGTGAAGGAGCCAATTGCACAAGGGCAGAAGCAAAATACAAACTCTGTAGTTGTGGGATGCTCATCTGGAGTTTCAGTAGATGGGGGAGCAAGTTCATAAAGCAGTGGTGCAAACTTCCTGTTGTTGGTAATCTGACTATCATCTCTGGCAGGTTTCAGAGCTTCATTTTTAGACCACTACATCCTTTGTAAGCCAGTGGCTGCAGCCACACACTTAAGGAGCTCAGTTTTTTTTCCCCCCCTGATGACTGTAACACTGATACATGACGGGCCTCCTGGCTTAAAGTGAGAAGTTCAACCTTGAAACTTGTCAAAGTTGGTATCCAGATGATCAACAATAAGAACAGTGAAAGTGTTGATCTGGTATGTTGGTGCTTACTAGACCTGGCATACTTGGCTCCAGTTAATTATAGGGAAGAGGCTAGCTAGGGCAACCCTCTTAGGGTCAAGACTGTAGTAGGAGAGGTACAGTTAATGGAATGGCAGTAGGCATGTACATGTGGGCACACTCACATCTGACTGGCAAAGCCCTGGTGCTGAGAACACCAGCAGAGAGAAAAAAGTTGCAATGCTGGGTGCCGGGCTTGAGCCAGCAGCATGGATCCAGCTGTGGCCTCAGTGACTCTGAGTCTTCCTGCCTTTAGTGGAAAAGAATGCTGGTGTTGAGTAATCCTTTCAGCCATTGTCTATCCACTGCAGGATGAAGACCTTGTCCGCAGGCTTCCAACCAATACAGTTCTGAGATTTCTTTTTGCCTGTTTGGCCCGCAATATCTACTGATGTAATCAATCCATCTTGTTTTAGGTCTATGGACTCTTTTTATCAAGTGGAATCTATTCTAGGACTGCCTTGGTCCACCTGCCATCAGTTCTTCCTGCTATGTGACCAGCCCACTTCCATTTCAGTTGATATCCTATATTTTCATTTGTTCTCTAATCCATGTGCAGGTCTTTCTATCTTGTCTTGTAATGCTGACCATGTATCTTTCCATGGCTTTTTGTGCCATCCGTAGCTTTTATATCGATTGTGAGGTTAGTGTGCAGGGTTTACCGACAATTGCTAGAGCAGGTACCAGTGATCGAAAACTCTTCATGTTTTTATTTGGTAGCAAAGTATTATAAAATACATAAAGTACTTTATAACCAAATAAAAACATATTAAAAAATCCTTTTCTCTTCATGCATAGGGGGAGGTTCTTGAAAATTATGCTTAGCTTGCCAAATGCTGGCCAACCACAATTAATCCAACATTCAATTTCCCTTATTGTATCATCGTCATTGAGATCAATTGGCCAATGAATGAATGAATGAAAATAAATATGTGTGTGTGTGTGTGTGTGTGTATGTATGTATGTATGTATGTATGTATGTATGTATGTATATAGTGGTTTATAAACTACATTTACCCTGTTTCTCCAACAATACGGCCTCCCCCAATAGGAAGTCCCAGCATGTTTTATAGGCATGAAATGAAATTAAGCCCCTCACCCCAAATTAAGGCCTATATTAAAACATGCAAAATGGGGGGAATGGTGTGGGGGGGCTCGCCGTTAGGAAGTACTTTTGTTGCACACCCAGATATGGTGCTGCCTTCGTTGACCCCGATACGAAGTGCACCAACGCCAAGGTCAACATACAAGCCGTTGCCGCCCGCCCAAAGATGTGGAGGGGGCGATTAAGTCACCCCCGAAAAGATGGCCTAGCGATTTTTTCTGGGCTCAAAAAAAAAATAAGACCCGGCCTTATTGTATGAGAAACACGGTAGTTCTTCTCCAGATATAAAAATATTCAGTGAATTTATTAAACATGACCTGAATAATGGTATAAACATGAAGAGGTATGGAAACAAAGTGGGGATATTCTGAAATGTTTAAAGATGGAATGTGGGGAGAGAGGGACATTCGATTAATAGGAGTAATAGCTCCAGGAAAAGCCTTTTTTCTGGATCTGCCTCTAGAGAAGCAGTGCTGCATTTCAAGGAGAGAGGCATAAAACTGAAATGGAAGGAGGCTGCTGAACCATCAAGACAATGAGCCAAAAAAAGCTTTATAGATTTGACATGTGCTGTAGCATACAGAAGTATAAAATTCAAGTCCGAATCTTTAGGAAGGGATTATTATGGCGACTTTTTTATTCCCACTCGTTTGAGAACAGCAACATCAAAATGTCTCCTTAAATTAAATTCTTCCGAGGGAGGGGGACCCCAGAGTTATCTCCTCCTGTGGAAGGACTGTGAGTTCCGTGCAGTTTTATTTCCCCAAGCAGAATCCCTGCTGTTATGTCACTTCACACTTGTGTTCCATCACTGGCACTTTGTGCTGTGTATTTGGCAGGCAGGACAATGTTGAAGGACTTCTACATATCTACAGCATATCTCTTGGTATGCCCTTTAAAAGCTTGCTTAATGTAATTTAATGTAATTTTAGGATTAAAATTTGGGCGTGAAAAATCAAATTATGTCTTTAGTTTCCATTTGTGTTCTTTTATTAGCTTCTAATCCTTTCTATATGTGCTTATTGTGAGATGGCTGTTATTGGTTTGACACTCAGAATTGCCTCGAACTGCCAGATAGGTGACACATAATTCTGATTATAATAGAATGTTATGGGGATATGCTCAGAATGCAACTGAGGTCCATGATCACTTAATAGTGAGATGGCTGGCATGCAAATTTAATAACTAAATCTGTCAACTGACTATACCTAATATTGTTTGCTTTTAAAATCTAGTGGGTACTCCTAGCTTAAGGCAACTTTATTCTGTTGCAAGAATATTTAAATTAAAGCAGCTACTGAATAGAAGGAGTAGATGATTCAGGAATCGCCTGAAGTCTCCTTCTAAAATTATGTCTGCAAATACTAGGTTGGTTGATGATAATCACAAGTGCTACATTTTGTCCAAAATCTAACTTGTCCAATAAATAACAGCAAAGATCTATAGCAGAGTAATAACTGGTTGAATTTATACTAAAATAGTTTTCCAAGTTCAGCAGTCAAGAAATGTTCTAAACTAACATGTTCTGTTTCTATTAGTCCTTAATGAGTCCAAGCTCCTATTTGTTTACCAAAATAAAGCAAAATGGTCAGCAGTCCTTCTTTTGACCCAACTCTATATATAAAAAGGAAGGTTTTACACCTGGTTAAACAGCCTATCATCTTCCATGTTCAAACACTAACAAAATATGTTGCAGCTGTATACCATATCTTTTTTTGAAGCTCTTCTGTTCAAATGGATCCTTTTTAAAATTTGTAATAGAAGATTACAGGTGGCTGAAGTATTAAGAGTTTCTTTTGTTAACAAATAATTGGTTTTCTCAATTTGGGTTTCTTTTCTGACAAGAGATTGGCCAATTTTACACTTGATTTCTGCAAGATTTGTGTTATGATCAATGCCATCTTTTAAAAGTTTTTTCCTTTACCCTAGCTTTCTTTAAGATAATCCCAGATGGAACTTGAAACCATTATCACATCTAGTAGCTCATTTAAATGGCTCCATCCATATTCAGCCTGAAAACTGATTAAACACAGACGCTACAGCTTGAAAATCAGCTACTCTTAATTTGGAATTTCCCCCCATCTTGCTGGTTGAACAGCTTTAAAGAAGCCTGCAGTTTGTACGTTTTTCATGGCTTTTGGATAAGCCTAATTTATTATGTTGTTGATTTGTTAAGTTTATTTCCCATTATCTCTCTATTTCCATTCTTAAAACAACAGTGCTGCGAGTTAAGCCGAGTGGAAAGAGAACAACTGGCCCAAAGGTGGATTTGTGTGGCTAAGGATACACTTAGTTTGGTCTTCCTGATCCTAGACCAACTACCTGGTATATCACTCTGGCTAGTTGTCTTTCTTCTCTATTCGTATTATTTTTCTATTTTTTCCTCTGATGTTCCTATCGGTATTTATGATTTCTTCTCTAGAACTAATCATATACCTACCAATTTATATATATACATATACATACACATACATACCCACCCACCCCCCACCCCCACATATATATATGTATGTTAAGTTTTCGTGGGTATCTATATGTATGGTATTCAGCTTTGTTTGGGTATTTTCCCACGTCATTATAGTTGTGCTTTTAAAGTTGTAGCGACGTTTTGGCAGAATTTCATCTGCCATCATCAGGCTTCTGTATTGTGTTCGTCTGTGAGTCAGACTTACACAGCCGTTTCTAAACACACTCACAGACGAACAC